GAAATGAAATTAAAAGTGGATTGTCCATAAAAGAGTGGTCATTCGTAACAGGGCCCACAACATATTCTGATCATGGGAAATTCTCTGGAGACTTAGAGTATAGTCTCCACTGGATGCTGTGGTATAAATCAATGCATCAGCATGATGATGAAGTAGCTTGTTGGGTGAAACAGGCATTCCGTGGTTTGAAAAATCCTTAAAAATATTGATTTTGAAGACTTTATGGCTTGCTTTTAAAAGACTGTTCATCTCTCTCTCTCTCTCTCTCTCTCTCTCTCTCTCGTTTAAAAAAAACTTTATTAAGCTTTAAAAAAGGTTTGTGGCAGTCCTTCCTTTGCAAAGTGGCATAATTGAATTTGCAAAAGAGCCCATATGAAGTTAGTAAGGAGCTTTCTGAGTGCCATCATTCACCAATATACTTCACTCTATAAGCAATGTCTGTGTTTACGCTTTAAGGATCAATGCACTTAAGTCCATTACATTTGTTCATGTGCATTGTCTCAGCCCCCATCCCCTGATCAATGATATTTAGACAAGTATATTTTGTCAAATTGCATTCTTGTGCTTCTACTGTAGGCATATCATGTGGGCATAAGCACAGCTGATTTCAGTAGAACTACCACATGAAGAGACCCTTGTCCAGCAAGCCAAGGCAAAGAGGCAGTCATAAAAGCAACAAAATCAGGGAGCTGGACAGGGGACAGATTGTATTTGTCTTCAGTGTGGAAGGGATTGTCGCTCTCAAATTGGCCTCTCAGCCACACTAGATGCTGTTCCAAGTCCTCTATTCTGAGCACATTACCATAGTCTCTTGAGACTAAAGGATGTCTACTCACCACTTAATGGATTTTCCATTGTGATGTAGTGGATAGGGTGATAGAGTAGGACTCTGGAGAACAGTGTTTTAATCCCTCAGCCATGGAAGCTCACTGGGGGAGTGGAACTAGCAAAAGGTAAAGGTAAAGATTCCCCTTGGCAATTTGTCCAATTGTGTCCGACTCATCCCCGTTTCCAACCCATAGAGCTAGCATTTGTCAGAAGACAATCTTCTATGGCCAGCGCGACTAGACACGGAACACCGTTACCTTCCCACTGTGGTGGTACCTATTTATCTACTTGCATTTTTGCATTTTGCATGCTTTTGAACTGCTAGGTTGGCGGGAGCTGGGACAAGCGACGGGGACTCACTCTGTCACATGGATTCGATCTTACAACTCCAGGTCTTCTGTCCTTGCAACACAGAGGCTTCTGCAGTTTAACCCGCAGTGCCACCACATCCCGCGTGGCAAAACCACTCCTTAAATATCCCACTTACCTTGAAAGCCTTATTAGGGTTGCTATAAGTTGGTTCTGACTTGTTGACAGAACACACACACCACTTAATGAGCAAAACACAGAGGAACACATCACACTGAATTCCTGCTGCAATGTAGTCCTATCCATGTGGGTGTTGAAAGAATCTTACTCCTTTTTTGTTAGTACTACAGGTAGTTAGAACATGACAGTTTGATAATGTACAAAACTGATGTTGAACAGCACTTTCATTGCTGCTTAAAACTGCAGACAAAATAGAGACAAAGTGTTTAAATAAAATAATGAGCCAGCTTCTTAAAATGTGTTAGTAATAAAAGAATATTACCACCTGGCTTTACAACGCTATTAATCAGAGAAAGCTGGGCATCTTGAGGGTCCATGCAGTTGCCTTTCCAGGGATTTTGTGGATGGGAAAGGGAGAAAATAGAAAAAAGAAGCAACTTTCCAAATGGCTGTTATCACTGTCCTTTATGCCTAGAACTAACTCTGATTACTAACCTAACCTCATAAAGGTCATCAAGCAAGATTACTTAGAGAAGGTCATCTGCACAGGAATGGGAATGTTGTGACTTCATTCTCTCAGTGAGAAAAACAGGGGAATGAAAATCCTTTGCAATGAAATTTCTTTGTGTACCTCCCATGCAAGAAATCTCATGGGATTTCTTAGATGTTTTGTGGTTATAATTTTTTTTCTTTGTAAAGAACACAATATGCACATAATTATTACCACTCCTGCGCGAAGCATCATTTTTTCCTGTACAAGTTTCGTTAGAAAGGGAATTGAGTTTTGTAGAATTTGGCAGCTTCTTCTGCAAAAGAACAGGCCAAAAATAAATAAATAAAGACATCTCACTTCTGTGTGGGGAACTCTTTGCAAGAAGTTTCGAAATGGATGTGGAAAATGGCCAAGAATAAGGTATTTTAAAGGTACTTAAAACATCCCGTCTTCAGGTGGTATGAATTGTTCAACTTTGATGTAATCCTTTCCATGGTGTAGAAACCTTGAGAGCTGCAGTCCAGGAGGAGTTAGTCTTGGACAAAGTCTCCCCCTGCTGGTAATTTTTTGAATTATTGAAAATTGTGCCCATTGATGACATCATCACATTTCCACAAATACAAGTTGTGTAATAGGATTTCAGTCTCTTTTTTTAATGTTATTCTCTAGGTTGTCTTAAGCATCTATTTGTATCCATCTTGTAGGCCAAGTTGCCTAAAATAACCTGAGAATTGAGTTAAGCTTAAAGTGAAAGCCATTCAAATCATGATTATTGGTTCTCCTCAATCTTGTGCTTTGATGCCACTCTTGTGTGCCTGGCGCTGCTAGCTTTTCCCAAAGAGCCATTCTCAGATTGGATTCAATTCTGGCTAATGAATCTTGATGCATTAGCGATCGCTCAATGGAAACTTAATTGGACACTTCTGAGTTGAGAAAAATTAGCCTAAATCTCCTGTCAAATATGGATTTCTTTCTTGTTTAAAGCACCTAAATGAACACAGTGCTTTGAAAATGTTAGAATAGCAATTCTCGGGCTAAATCCCGCTGCTGGTCTCCAGTAATGGTACATCAACACCTTTGTAAATCATATTGTTTCAGTGTGCCTACTCTTGTTATGACTAGGAATTGGATTTAGGTTCTGATAGTCTATATTTTTTTGTTTTGTTTTACTTCTGTCCTTCTCTTGTCATACCAAAATAACATTGCAGTGACTTTATTGCTGGATACATTAACTACATTCAAAGCACACAACAGAATATATTTCAGTACAAGTTTCTTCCTTTGCCCTTTGGATATAACTTTTAACACTAGGCAGGGGAACCAAGGCCAGAGTTATTTAATTACTTCCCCTTACAGTGTGTAATACACTTTAAGCTTTCAGGTGTAAGAAGAGAACAGCGCTGTTGGATCAGACCAAAATCATCACAGTGGTCAACCAGATACCAATGGGATATTCACAGACTTCATCATAACAACCCCTATCAAAGCATATTCTGGCTTCTAAAATGACATGGATACTAGAGGCAATATATAGCTAGCCACCAGGATTAGTAATTATTGGCAACAATCTTGTCCTTCATGAGCTTTCTTAACCCACGTTCAAATAAATATAAATTTCTTAGTGAATTCCTTAGTTTGACCATGAACAATATGAAAAGCATTTTCCCTCCAGTCTTGAATCTCCCCCTGTTCAGTTTCATTGAATGAACACAGGTTCTAGTATTATTAAGGAGAGCGGGAATCACTCTATCCATTTCTCTACACCATGCATATTTTGGGTCACCCCCAGGCTTGGCTTATCAAACTGAAGTCTAGTAATCAGGTTCATGGATCGTAGCTGAAGTGAGCATCCATTATCATTTATTACTGGGATGGGCATCCATCTATGAGCCCATCCACTCCAAGCATTTGGTCAATTCTCCTTGCACCCATGACACTGGTAGTGCATCTTAGTGTCCAAACAATGCAAGGCTGAAACATGACGAAAGGCCTCGGTTGGTTGGTTGGTTGGTTGGTTGGTTGGTTGGTTGGTTGGTTGGTTGGTTGGTTGGTTGGTTGGTTGGTTGGTTGGTTGGTTGGTTGGTTGGTTGGTTGGTTGGTTGGTTGGTTGGTTGGTTGGTTGGTTGGTTGGTTGGTTGGTTGGTTGGTTGGTTGGTTGGTTGGTTGGTTGGTTGGTTGGTTGGTTGGTTGGTCATATTTCATTACCATCGGAATGTATATAAAATGTTTCCAGCCTGTGGAAAGTTCCTTCCTTCCTTCCTTCCTTCCTTCCTTCCTTCCTTCCTTCCTTCCTTCCTTCCTTCCTTCCTTCCAGCACCACTGCTACCTATAGTGTATTTTGTTCTACTTTGTTTAGGTTTGCTCCATTGCAGGATCTGTGTTTCTGTGCTGTTCCTTGCACTTTGTGGGTGTGTATTAATGGATGCCATTTCCTGTTTTTGTGCTGGTCACTCTTCACCTTTTTGAGCCCTGGGAAGGGAGGAGGGAAGGGAGGAGACAGTGAAGTGAGCAGGAGAACAAGATAGGCAAAACTTGGTGGTGGAGCAATCTGTGCAGGAAATGGGAGGTCAGGGAGTAATTTCAGAGGTACATGAAGAGGCCATACTGGGGAAACAAACTCACTTCCCTGCAAATACTGAGAACGTTTGCTCATATCTGAAACAAACAAACAAACAAAACTAGAATGACCCCAAACAATCCAAAAGAACAAGGGGGGGACACCACTATGTGGACAATGTGATTCATCTTGGTGCTCTTTCATAATACCCTAACACTGGAAGAAGAAGTTGCAATGAGAGGGAACAATGAAATATAACATTTTTGTTCAGACAGATTATGGTACTGTTTTTAATTTCTTTCAAAGACATGACCCTTCAAACAAGGATACTTAAACCTGAATGCAATCACTAATCCTAACCTGAGGATATCATTTGAATATGTAAGATTTAAATAAGTGTTACTTACCACTCAACCACAATTCAGTGGGTCTACTGTAGTTGGGACTAGAGATTGGACTCGGGTCATAGAAATAAATAATTATGCTATCTACAAATTAGAACAGTAATCTGAATTCATAATCTCAGACTATTATTCTCCAGCATCCCAGCTCTTGAAATTATTATTAAACTCAAAAGTGATGGATGTAACCTTCTAATTATAGCTAACTTGAATTATTGTCTTACTTTTTCAGGCATCCTTGAAGATGATAAATCCCTAAGGGGTGTGTTTTATATCATCAAAGCAATTTCTGTTTGCATTTACTACACACGTGATGGAACTGTAAGTAAATCATCTTTGCTCCATGATGAATCTGATGACTATAATCTGGAAGGAAGCAAAATAATCGTTTCATCGTCAGCTGTGATTTGCCTAGCGTGTGGAATGATGCCTGAACGACTAACAGAAATGCTTATGGATACGTGGGCTCCATTAGTAATATTATGGATTACTGCGTTCCCATCTATGTACATGGCTCCAATGAATCATTCTCAAGTATTACCAAGCAGGTCCAGTAGAGGACTCGGTGAGCTAAGAGAAGAACAAAGAATATTGAACCGTTCCAAGAGGGGCTGGGTATGGAATCAAATGTTTGTGTTGGAAGAGTTTTCTGGACCAGAACCTATATTAGTTGGCCGGGTAAGTCAACATTCTTACTATTTTCAATGAGATTGTTGCCAGATGTTCCTTTTGCCTGCGTTCTCCCATAAAACTGGCTACCGAATCACATGTTCCTGTTACTGTCGTGATACTGTTGCCTATGATTAATACAGACATTGAACTGATTTTTGTGTAGTTAGTATAGAAAATACTATGAGTACTGACATTACTAGTGATGGTGTTGAGAAAGGAGGATGAGAGGGTTCATGATTATGACTCCATGTCCTGAGGTTAGAGCACTATGATTGTCTGATTAGCTAAGAGTTTGAATTTCTCTGGTCTTGGTGGCCTAGGCAAGATTGTACTGAAATTTGAATAGCTGTTCCTATCACTGTGAGGTCTCTTTGGTGTAGAGCAATAAGCCATTAAGCACCAAGAAAGTGAAATATACATGGAATCGGCACTGCCATGCAGTACAGTAAGCAGCTTCAGGTGGCACCAAAGGGGGGCAACAACATGTGTGAGGAATAGATGACAGAAGGAGTTGATGACTGAATGGTACAGCGGGAGATTTTTAGGAATTGTCTGCAGGAGCATGGAGGGGAAGGACATGCTATTTTCACTTTTCCTCAGGTCTGATGGTGATGGATGAAGTCCCAGTAGGATTAGAACTAGTGCTGGGGCAGTGAGCTAGAATAGATACAGAGGAGGATCAGCCCAGAGATCACACTGATAGATGGCTGGCAGAAGCGGGGGCTGAAAAAAGGATGTAGTGAAAAGGTAACAAAACTGAAAGAGAAAGGTCTAAATGTAAAATAAGAATTCTGGGGGTAATCTTAAGTATCAGCAGTACATCTTTTTCCCCCCAGTGAATAGGTAGCTTTCAATGTCTGAACTGAACAGGAATTTAATGCATGCATTCTGCCTGGCAAATAGAAATCTTCTATTTTCATTGGTAATGATATGGAGACAGATTGTTACGTTCCCATGGAATCCAAGGACAAAAAAAGAAAGAGTAAAACTAATAAAGAGCTAGGCAGAACACTTCACTCTATTGTCAATCACAACATGAAATAACTACAAACCACTTAACTCATCAAAAACCTTAGGAACCATAATAGAAACAGTCTGAGCAACACAGATGATATATCAGACACTCACTGTCTTTATACAGCAAATCCACCCCCAGCTAAACCAGAGCAAGCGGGGGTTAGAGATGAGAAATAAATATAACAGCAAAACAAAAAGCAGCTGGTCTTTCATGGGCGAAAAGCCCTGTATTAGGACAAAATAATACATATTTCTTGCATTTGGGAGTATGCAACCTTTTCTGGCCATGAAGTTATTGTTTGGAGTACCATGATTTTTCCTTGAGTTGCTGCTTCATTCTTTCTACTGAATTAGCAACATGCACAATCATAGCAATATGGGACTGAAACAGTGAGTGGGAATTGAAACTGAAATGACAGGCCACATCACACACACACAAAAAACACAATATTAAAGGATTTTGGTTAAGTTTGAGACTAGGAAGCAATGAAAGAACTTGAACAGATAACCAAATGTAAGGATTAGAGAGTGAAATGACAGGCCACATCACACACACACACACACAAAAACAATCTTAAAGGATTTTGGTTAAGTTTGAGACTTAAGCAATGAAGGAACTTGAACAGATAATCAAATGTAAGGATTAGAGAGGGTCACAAATCAGAAAAATGGTGATTCATTTTGATTAGTGATTTGTCAAGGTTGATAAATCACAAATTATGAATTTATGAAATTTTTTTCTGATGAATCAACACCAGAATCACAGAGTAGCTTCTACTGCCTCTCATTTACAGTCCATCCACATTTTAATGAGGACTGGGTTTCAGACATCAAACTGGGTCTCCCCAGGAGAGTGCCCTTTAACAGCTGGCTTGGCAAAACCCAATCTTCAACAAACTTGGAGGCATTGTAGACGAGAGTCAAAGGAAGTGTCCCTGAACTTTTGGAGTCTAGATGCCTTGGGGGATGTTTTCTAGCCAAACAAATCAACAAATCTAAAATTACCAAAAATTCATTATTTATATTTTGATTCGTATGAATATGAATCGACAAATTAGCAATTTTTCAATGAATTTGGCAATTCATTTTTTAAATTTGTGCTCAAGCCAAACAAATCAACAAATCTAAAATTACTAAAAATTCATTATTTATATTTGATGGGGGCATTGATTCATATGAATAGGAATCATCAAATTAGCAATTTTTCAATGAATTTGGTGATTCATTTTCTAAATTTGTGCCCCTCTCTAGTGAGGATGTGTTATTGGAAACCAAGACAATCTATACTCTTACGTTGCCAATTAAAATGTATGGGTGTGAAAGCTGGACAGTGAAGAAAGCTGACGGGGGGGTGGGGAAACAATTCTTTTGAAATGTGGTGCTGGAGGAGAGCATTGCAGATAGAAAGACAAACAAGAGGGTCCTAGATAAAATCAAACCTGACTATCCTTATAGGTAAAGGTGTTGAAATGGAGAGTGTCATATTTTGGGCACTTCATGAGAATGCAGGATTCTTTGGAAAAGACAACATCGGGTGCCAACTAAAGGTGGAAGGCAGCAGGAAAAGAGGAAGAATCAGTATGAGATGGCTTGATTCCTTAAAGGAAGGTCCAAGTTTGAGTCTACCCAAAGTCAAGCTTTCTAACACCCCAGCCACATTCCCCCATTTTAAAAAGGCCCAGTAAGTATCCATTTGCCATCCAGGTCATGTGGGGGCAATTTTGCCATGGTTTGAAGGGATGCTCTACTCTCCCCTTCCCCAGTCTGTTTAATTTGGTGAGTGAATGATGACACTTGCTAGTATTATTGGAAGAGGGGGAAGAAAATCTCCCCCTATACAGGTTGTCCACACTAAGACCAATTGTTCACATCTCTGTCATGTTCCCCCTTTACCTACCTTTCCCCCAAGACTAAGAACCACAAATGTAACCTTTCCTCATTGAGACTTTTCTCAATCCCTTATTTGTTTGGCTGCCTTTTTAAATCACCTTTCCAGCTCTGGCGTCATCCCTGTTGGCATACAGTAACCAGAACCATATACAGAGCATTCCAAGGGTGCTTGGATCATAGATGTGTAATAAAGAGGTTAAGATTAAGATCACCCATTGACAGCTACTCCAAAACATACCTGCTTCATTGTGGAGTCTGGGCATCCTCCCTAAAGACACTTCTGATCCAACAAAAGAGACCTATATGTGTGTATTTTATGTGTCGTCAAGTGAGAACGGACTTATAGCAACCCTAAGAGGGCTTTCAAGGTAAGTGATATTTTAAAGGAGTAGTTGATACAAATTCCAGCCCCCCATTTGAGTTTCCATGGCTGAATCCATATTTCTTGAGGCATTCGTCCATTTCGCTGCCCACTACAGCGCACCGTGTAGCCCTGTATGTATTGCTTGGTTAATGTAGTGAAGGAACAACTGTGTAGTAGGGTTGGCCAAAAGAAAGAGAGGGGGGGTAGCTATGTACACAAAATCTCCACAGAAAAAAAATCGGAGATTTGAATCCAGAATTTTTGGGATTGGGATAGGCAGGGTTTTTGACTGTGTCATGAATTCTTTTTTATTTTTATTTTTAAATCATATTCTGTCCTTTGGTATATCTCCAAGGTGGTTTATGTGAACAAGACATAATGCTTCTGGAAAATGGATATGTTTTGCTGGTTATATTGCTTTTTTTCCCTTTTCCTTTGTATTTACCAATGCATTTGAATAATGGAAGGAATTAAAGAGAGACAGAACGTTCTCATGATGCCATAACCCAGAGTACCTTGTGATTTAACCTATTGAAGAAAGTCAGGATCTAGGACTACAAGTGGTTGTGCTGATTATTTCTCATTGTACATACTAATTTATTTCAACAAATGCACACGCTCTCCTGCAATGGAGGCTGAACCAATAAACACACATATACCAAGGAACGTACAACCCAGATGAACAGAAAATACCTCTGTACCTTGCTTCAAAACTCTCATTATGCAAATCCTCACTCTAGAGTAACACCTTTGTCTTCACAAAATCTTCTTAATTCCATCAACTCCCTCTCAGAGGTCTATCACAGTATGATGGTGATGGATTTGCCACCCCATCTGTTTATGAGAACCACTTTCTTTTAGTGCAAGTATGTGTAATCCAATGCATCGCATGCCAATACATGCACACAGACCCAGACTCAACGACCTAGACCCAGACATTTGTCCTTCTAAACAATGTTCCCAAACAGATTTTCACTAGTAAAGGAAATGTTTCCATCAGACGTTTAAACTGACAAAAGAAAACAGATTTTGAGATAAGGCAGCCAGCCACTCACGTCTTGACTTCATCCTGTTACTGCAGGGCAATCAGAAGGATGTGTGATCTTACGAGCCGTATGTGTGCCACTTTCTTCAGAACAAAACTAGAAGCAAGAGGCAAAACAGAGAGAAAAACCAGTAGGTTTCCATTCACCGGAACATTAAATCACAAGCTACTGTGCATTATGGCATCATTAAAGTGTCCTGTCTCTGTTTAATTTTAGCCGTTATTCAAGTGTGTTAGTAAATATAAAAAAGGGGGGGGAAGAGCAGGTTAAAATCAACGGGCATATTCCTTTTCTTCTAGAAGTATTTGTAACAGCTACTGCCGTCCCTCTGTTGCTGTGTTTCTTTTTATTTCCTTTTTCCCATTTTCATTTTTCTGGTTGTAGCACCCTACAGAACAGATGGAAGAAGGCAGAACTTGCTTCGGAGGAAGGTGGTGTTAGGCCTTTTCCTGGACTGATAATTTCCTTGTACCGTTGGTCTCACTGTTCCCTCATTATTGGTCTTTTGTACAAGTACATAATTATGTCATTTCTTTTAGCTAGGAATAGGTGCATTATAATTTTGCCAGTACAAGCAACTGCTTGTAGGTTTTCTTTTGCTGGAGATGTTAAAACAGAGAAGGGGGGGGCACCTGTCAGGGAAGATGTAGTTAACTCTGAATTATACCATCTGCATGGAGCATAGGGCT